TCTACTAATTAAAGAGAACAGACTAACATTCTTTTACATTTTTGTATCTGAATAATCCATTATAGAATTAATAATTCATCTTTGCAACATAATTTACAAAATAATTTTATCTAGTTAATATCAAAAGATATTAGCGAATAAGTAGACTAAACAATTCAAGTTATTATTGAATACTACAACAGATATGAAGTCCCTTCGTGCATTATTCCCATCTTAAGACAACATAATATAAGTTTATGTTGAAGTATAAAGTTAGATTTACATTTAAATGATGCTAACACATTGAACTCCTTTTAAGAAGTGTAATCTTGTTTGTTATATGCAGATCATTTTGAATGTTTATAAAACGTAAATATCAGATTAATCGCATTTTTGGCACATACTGCTACGTATCACCAGAAATACATCATGAAAACTTATAAATGAAAAGATAAATTGATTTGGCAAATATCAAATGCATTTACGACTAAAGTTTTTAACACATTAATTATTTTAAGTGATTGGATTCATATATTTATGATACAACCTAGCAAGTTTATGACCTCTTATCATAAACAATGATTAATGAAGCTTGGAATATTGACCTATTTTGGCAGCTCATCCTAAGCACTATGTACATTTGTTAGTTTTGCTACTGTGATTTTAGTACTGTTTCAATAAATAAAAGGATATATTGGGTATATGTGATGAAACAGGAACCCAATGACAATGATAGCCAAAAGACATCTCTAAGGCAGCAAACAGTCTTCAACATAAAGGTTATCAACTTAACATCACAGTAAGATCTTTGAATATTATTTTTATCGGTACGTACATTGATTTTATTTTTGTTTAATTAAAGCATAATTGAATATGTATTGCTAAACATTTGTGATAACTTATATAGTCCTACAGCCTGTCAATACTATGTATATAAAAATAAGAAGATGTGGTACTAGGACCAATGAGACAACTCTATCGTCTACGGATTAGAGTGTTACCTTTGCGGACTGGTTTACGTCGGTGAAACGAGAAGAAGGCTAAACAAACGTATGTGCGGCCATCAACCTCAATTCAAACGACATTCTGTACCAGCATTTTGATCAGCCTGATCATTCCATCGTTTCTATGACAGTTCGTTTTATCGAAAAAATATACCACAAGACTAACAATCCTCAACTTCCAACGCCTCTCCGTAGACAAAAAAGAGGACTAATGGATTCGACGATTGGGAACTGAGACACCATATGGTTGCACTGACAAAATTGATTGAATAGGTATTCTATCTAGTCCTTCCTGTAGCTCGGTGAATGTGATGAATATTTTCAACTCTACCCCTCGACGTAGACGCAGTCATGGTCATCGTCATTATACATCACCTACTTTGCATGATGCCTCTATTAATGACTTGCTGCCATCTATACAAAAGCCGTTAGATATTCATCACATTCGCACGAAACTTTATTCATTACCCCTTTCAAAACTTCATTCTCTGTTCAATTTATGTTTGGAAACCACTGTTACAAACCCTCATTCAAACCAATACAAACTTACAGCTATCATGTCGGATATTGCAAGTCACAGACTTTTCAAACCAGTTCGCATTGGAAAAGATAAAAAAGAGAAAAGATCTTTTCTTAAACTTTCCTTTGCCAACAAAGGTTTCGATGACGTCAACTTAGGCAATATCCTTCATCATAAATTAGTTCAGTCGAAAATACCTCTTTATTTTAAAAATCAGTCTGTACCAATAATTTCTAATACCTATACCGAACCAATTGCAACTAAAATTTTCAATTACAAAAACGTTTTGCAAGATCTCAACAGTGACGACTTCAAGTCTAAACCTCCTGATTGCACCTGTGCTAGTTCCCAATTCACATATAATCAGGCTGGCTACGTTATTACCAGAGACCTCAACATTGTCAATAACACTTCTCTGTGAAATTTGTTATCCAAAGGTCCGAAATATCGTGAGCCTAAATCCATCAATTGGAAATACAACTTCAAAATACTGATGGATTCAGTCGAGGATTATGCCAGGCAATTGGCTAAACGCGAGAAGGAAGACGTAGATACTCTTTCCGAATGGATTAAGGCTGTGAGGTCGTTGATACAAATCCGAATTAAGAAACTAAATGTGCATATCAATACCCACGCTACGTCAATTTTTAAAGACCCAAATGTTGCAAAACACTTGTCCTACCTCCATGACAAATATGTTGTTGTCCCCGCAGATAAAGCCCCAAACAACATCGTTTTTGTGTGTAAATATCATTACATAAACTGCTTGATAAATGAATTAGGTATTGAAAATTCACTTGGAAACTCAACATATACCCTCACGACACTTACCAAAGAGGAACTCCTTGATAATCATAGGTCTGTTCTATGTTCCTTTGGAATTTCAACCAAAGATGAAGATCTGGATCTTCCATCACTGTATTGGATACCTAAACTACATAAGTGTCCTTACAAACAACGGTATATTGCTGGGTCTTCCAAGTGCTCCACGAGACCTTTCTCTAAATTATTAACATCTATTTTATCAGCAATCAAAGCTGGGCTCCAAAGTTATTGTGAAACTGCCTATTCTAGAGGTGGCGTGAATCAGATGTGGATACTAAAAGATTCCAAAGATCTTTTAGAGTACATACAATCTTAAGACTCTCTCATCTTGCAATAGTATTAAAACATTTGACTTTTCTACACTTTACACAAGTATTCCCTATTCCAAACTAAAAGACAAATTGAAAGAGTTGGTATTACTTTGTTTAATTAAAAAGAATGGCGAACGTAGATACAAGTGTCTTGTCTTGGGGAGGGATAAATCCTACTTTGTAAAGAATCACTCTGATTAAAACAAAAAATTCTCTGAAACTGACATTATCAAGATGCTTGATTTCTTGATTAACAACATATTTGTTACGTTTGGAGGACGTGTTTTTCAACAGACTGTCGGAATTCCAATGGGAACCAATTGTGCTCTTCTTCTTGCCGACTTGGTTCTTTATTATGATGAGGCTGACTTCATACAGGAACTTCTTAGGAATAAAGATAAGAAGTTAGCAATATCCTTTAACTTTACGTTCCGCTATATAGATGATGTTCTCTCACTAAATAATACAAAATTTGGCGACTATGTTGAACGAATCTATCCCATCGAACTAGAGATAAAGGATACTACAGATACAGTTAAGTCTGCCTCATATCTTGACTTACATCTAGAAATTGACAATGAGGGTCGGTTGAAAACAAAACTTTACGACAAAAGAGATGATTTCAGCTTCCCAATTGTGAACTTTCCATGTAGCAACATTCCAGCAGCGCCTGCATACGGAGTATATATCTCCCAATTGATACGATATTCCCGGGCTTGTATTTCCTATCATGATTTCCTTTATAGAGGATTGCTGCTTACAAGGAAGCTATTAAACCAAGAGTTCCAAATGGTGAAGTTGAAATCATCCCTTCGTAAATTTTACAGACGCCATCACGAGTTGGTTGACCGTTATAGAATAACCGTTTCACAGATGATATCGGATATGTTCCTTATGTCGTAACTACAATACCCTTCCTTCACGAATGTGACCTACCGAATTAGACTATTTACCGGATTTGTAATAACATAAGCAACACGACAGGTGCCACATGTGGAGAAGGATCTGCTTACCCTTCAGGAGCACCTGAGATCACCCCCAGTTTTTGGAGGGGTTCGTGTTGCTTAGACTTTAGTTTTCTATGTTGTGTCATCTGTACTATTATTTGTCTGTTTGTCTTTTTATTTTTGGTCATGGCGTTGTCAGTTTGTTTTCGATCTATGAGTTTGACTGTCCCTCTGGTATCTTTCGTCCCTCTTCTATTCACAACAGACCAAATTACATACATAGATTTAAGCAACTATTATACAATAATTGATTTGCGACGAGGTTGATAAATCATTATATCAACTGGAATCAAAAGACAACAATTGTTTTATCATATGACTTTTTAACCTTCTTCAATTTTCTAGTATTTGCTCAAGATACTTATTCATACCAATCTGCTGAGATGATTCATTTACAATTATTCTTAATAGTTTGTTCTCATGTTAAATATACAAACCCATTTTATTACAATACTCTGTATGATTTTCACCACACCCTCCCGTATCTGCTCTATTTAGTTCAAGTCTTTTTTTTATTTTTCGTGGTTTTGATTTCACTTTCGTTATTTTGACACTTTCAAGTAGTTTATGGCAGTTGTCGTTTATTACATTAAATTCCTCTTTGATATCATTTAAAATAGCAATTCCCGAACTTTGAGTGGTAAAACCAGACGGATATCTGTGCAGGAGCATATTAGGAACAGTATTCACTCAACTTGTGAATAAGAATTCGAAAATGTATAGGGACGAAAGATAATTTTATTCCTTGCAAGAAACAATATGCATATGTTGTATGGGATCTTGCACGGAACCATCTGTTGTTAGATTGGCACACACGTTACATAACACTAAATATTCATCACCATCTTTCGTTCAAAGACATAATTAAGATGAAATTACAAAACGATTATTAAAAGCGTTTGTATTGTTGATGGGATACCTAGGAACAATGCTGATTTAACCATAAAACAATCAAGAGCAGGAGGCGGATCCAGACGGACATGCACATTTTACATTTCAATAGACGAAATATTTAGTTTAATTTCACCTAAGGTAACTAAGAAACTAGCGTAAGCATGAAACTTAATGTTGATTGTTATACGAAATGCAGTCCAATACAGATGGCTCCTCTCAGATATGTAAATCTAACAACAATTCAGTAGACCATATTAGAGAAATTAACCTAAGCGCGAAATTTATGTCAACTTCGCAATGAACTGTATAAAACGTCCGATTGCAACAGACGGACCTATACACCTTACAAACATTTTATAGGCATAATATACTAGTAGTTGACGTATTGCTAAACAGACCTAAGCGCTAAAACAGTTTTAATAATGCTCTCTCTTAATGTTTTTACAGATTAGGGTAACAGCACAAGTGGTGAAATGTGCTTGCTGCTTATGTATTTAAATGACGATGAATGTAGGGATGGATACCGTGTGATCATTGCAAACAATCGAGATGAGCGTTGGGATAGACCAACAAAACAGCTGTCATTCTGGACAGATAATGAAGAGTGTTTAAGTGGTATGTATAAGGCATTATGGGATAAATCTATCTGTAATTGTAGACAAATAATACAAAATATATTCATGGTTTGTTTTACTGATTGTGAGGTAGATCTATAAACAGTTGTCAATCTGGACATATAAAAAGGTATAACAAAAATACTGAACTCCAAGGCAAATTCAAAAACGGGGAAGTCCATAAAAAAACCAACAAAATCAAACGCTATCAATCCACGGCACAAGTGAAAAACAATTGCAATATTCCTGACTAAGTACAGGCATTTTCCGAAGATAATGTTGGGTTAAACCTGGTTTTATAGCTAGCGAAACTGCCCACTTGTATGACAGTTGTTTATAGTTCCGTTATATTGACGAAAAATAGAGTGTATTTGTGGTTTGAATAATCATTTCTGGGATAAAAATATTATTGCAAAGATCATAGACAACAATCCCATCCTCTTTTCCTCGAGTTCGAATATGACCTAACGAATTAGACTTATCACCGGGTTTATGCTTACATCGGTAACTTCGCAAAAATCTTTTTATGATTAAGAGATAAGGTCTTAATATAAAAATAAGAAGATGCGGTATGATTGCCAGTGAGACAACTCTCCACAAGAGACCACATGACACAGAAATTAACAACTATAGGTCACCGTACGACCTTCAACAATGAGCAAAGCCCATTCAGCATAGTCAGCTATAAAAGGCCCCGAAATGACAAATGTAGACTATTCAAACGAGAAATCTAACGGCCTGATTTATGTACAAAATAATGAACGAAAAACAAATATGATATACAGCAACAAACGACAACCACTGAATTACAGGGTCCTGACTTGGAACAGGCACATAAAAAATGTGGCGAAGTAAAACATGTTAGCGGGCGCAAGCACAATTTTGAAATATATTTTTCCCTTCATTTTGTAGTATTTTATTGATAGATGAACTTTGCAGTTAACATTTTAGACAGTGTTGGATTAAATATTTTTGACATGATGAATTTGTTAACCTTCATTGATTGCTTTGAAATTTGGAAACAAAGTAATCTTCAAGAACAAGAAATAGCATCTATAGAAAATGAAAACAAGATGTATAAACAAATCCGTGTTTTTTTTAGATAAATGTTCTTACATTTTACAGTCAACATTACACTTTAACACTGACAGCAGCAATCACAGGCTAAACACAGGGTTTCAAAGAACCATTTACAAATTTTGAATATTTTTGATCACGTGATTATCCTAAGATCTGTGATGCTCGAATCAAAACAATTAATGGGAGTCATATTGGATTTTTCCTCAAAAGGTATGTACTATGACTCGTACTTGTGATGATTTAAACGTCTGGCTATGAATAGCTCAAATAAAGTTTTAACCTGAAGAGTTCTCATATTGGTATTTAAGAATGGTGCAGTATTTTTTTTTAATATTAAGTTTCTTTGTTTTGCTAATAGACAGATCTTTTCGAAGCTGTATTATGCAAGTACACCAAAAGGCTTCCAACAAAATGATAATGGCGTAAAATATTTTTTTTAAAACATGCAATCAAAGTTTCTTGTGTACAATTTTACAAGAAGGCCATTTAAGTTTTAAGTAAGTTAAAATATATTATAAATATTATAGGCCAGGATTTGACAACAGGAAAAGAAAAGGGCACATGGTTAGGAGTATCAAAGAAAGGAAGGATTGGAATACTACTCAATATCTTAGGTGTGGGTGATCGTGAAAAGAAAGGAAGAGGTACATATCTAAAGACTGTTTACAATATAACTGAGTTTATGTTGCTTTTTTTAAATCTAAGGTATCGTTAATCATGTTAATCTAAGCTGTGTCTACAGTGATATTCTTTCAGAGGTAAAGCAGAGTAAATCCAAGCTATGTCAACAATAATAGTCTATCGGAGGTAAGATAGAGTAAATCTAAGCTATATCTACAGTGATATTCTATCAGAAGTAAGGTAAAGTAAATCAAAGCTATATAAAAATAAGAAGATGTGGTATAATTGCCAATGAGACAACTCTCCACCAGAGACCAAATGACAAAGAAGTTGGTTGGTAGCTATCAGAGGTAAGGTATAGTTAATCTAAGCTATGCTACAGTGACATTCTATCACAGGTAAGGTAGAATAAATCTAAACTATGGCTACAATGCCATTCTATCTGAGGTAATGCAGAGTTAATATCAATGATGTCTATAGTGACATTCAATCATAGGTAAGGTAGAGTTAATCTAAACTATGTCTACAAAACTAAAAGACAAATTGAAGGAGTTGGTCCTGCTTCGTTTCATAAAAAAAAGAATGACCTGCGTAGAAACAAGTTTCTTGTCTTAGGGAGAGATAAATCGTACCATGCGTACATTGTAAAAATCACTCTGATTCAAACAAAAAATTCTGTGAAACTGACATGGTACTGTACACGTATACCTAACAACAAAATTATTTTCATTTACCTGTGTTTAAAGTTATTGCAAATGGATGGTATTTTTGTTCGAGCATATTGTTTTTCTTTAATTGTTTTACATTTCTTACCGATATAACATGTTACTTTTATTATTCTTCCCTTAGTTTATTTATTTTGTATTTAAAATTATTTATTTTGTAAAAATATTTCCTTTCTCTATTGGTACTGTACAGGTATACCTAACAACAAAATTATTTTCATTTACCTGTGTTTAAAGTTATTGCAAATGGATGGTATTTTTGTTCGAGCATATTGTTTTTCTTTAATTGTTTAACATTTCTTACCGATATAACATGTTACTTTTATTATTCTTCCCTTAGTTTATTTATTTTGTATTTACATTGTGTCATAGGTCAAATTTATTTGTTCAGTGTATGTTCAATGGTGTTAATATGTCCTTTGATTGAGTTAAGCTATTTCAGTTGATATTTTATAGTGTGTCTTTCTATGTTGTGATGTTACACTATTGTTTCAGAAAAAGGGTGAAGGTTTGGTACCATTAAAACGTTTAAACCCGCTGCATTTGTTTGCACCTGTCCTAAGTCAGGAATCTGATGTTCAGTAGTTGTCGTTTGTTGATGTGGTTCATAAGTGTTTCTCGTTTCTCGTTTTTTATATAGATTAGACCGTTGGTTTTCTCGTTTGAATGGTTTTACACTAGTAATTTTTTGGGGCCCTTTATAGCTTACTGGTCGGTGTGAGCCAAGGCTCCGTGTTGAAGACCGTACTGTGACCTATGAAGGTTTACTTTTATAAATTTTGACTTGGATGGAGAGTTGTCTCATTGGCACTCATACCATATCTTCTTATATCTATTATCAAGATGCTTGATTTCTTGACTGACAACATATTTGTTACCTTTGGAGGACGTGTTTTTCAATTAAAATTAAATAGTTCAAAATTTGATGACTATGTTGAACGCATCTATCCCATCGAACTTGAAATAAAGGATACAACAGATTGAGTTAAGTCTGTCTTATATCTTGACTTACATCTAGAAATTGGCAACAATGATCTGTTGAAAACAAAACTTTACGACAAAAGAGGTGATTTTAGCTTCCCAATTGTGACCTTTCCATTTCTCTGAAGCAACATTCCAGCAGCGCCTGCATACGGAGTATATATCTCCCTGTTTATACGATATTCCCCGGCTGGTATTTCCTATCACGATTTCCTTGATAGAAATTTGCTCCTCACAAGTAAGCTATTAAACCAAGAGTTCCAAGTGGTGAAGTTGAAATCGTCCCTTCGTAAATTTTACGGACGCCATCAAGAGTTGGTTGACCGTTATGGAATATCCGTTTCACAGATTACAACGGATATGTTCCAATTGTCGTAACTACAACCCCGTCCCCTTTTTCACGAATGTGACCTATCGAATTAGACTTATCATCGGTTTTGTACTAACATGAGCAACACGTCGGGTGCCACATGTGGAGCAGGATCTGCTTACCATTCCGGAGCACATGAGCTCACCCCCCAGTTTTTGGTGGGGTTCGTGTTGCTCAGTCCTTAGTTTTCTATCTTGTGTTTTGTGAACTGTTGTTTGTTTGTCTTTTCCTTTTTTAGCCATTGCGTTTTCAGTTTTTTTTCTACTTATGAATTTGAATGTCCCTTTGGTATCCTTCGCCTCTCTTCTACAGTGATATTCTATCATAGGTCATGCAGAGAAAATCTTAGCTATGTCCTCAGTGACATTCCATCTGAGCAAAAGCAGAGTAATCTTAACTATGTCTACAGTGACATTCTATCATAGGTAAGGTAGAGTAAATCTATGCTATGTCTACAGTGACATTCTATCATAGGTAAGGTAGAGTAAATCTATGCTATGTCTACAGTGACATTCTATCATAGGTAAGGTAGAGTAAATCTATGCTATGTCTTCAGTGACATTCTATCATAGGTAAGGTAGAGTAAATATATGCTATGTCTTAAGTGACATTCTATCAGTGGTTAGGTCGAGTTAATCTAGGCTTTGTCTTTAGTGACATTCTGTCAGAGGTAAGGTAGAGTAAATCTTAACTATGTCTACAGTCAAATTCTATCAGAGGTATGGTCGAGTAAATCTTAGCTATGTCAACAATGATATTCTATCACAGATAAAGTAGAATGAATCTAAACTATGTCTACAGTGACATTTTACATGTATCATAGTTAAGTTAGAGTAAATCAAAACTACGTCTACAGAGACATTCTATCAGAGGTTAGGTTGAGTAAATCTAAGCTTTGTCTACAATGATATTCTATCAGATGTAAAGTAGAGTAAATCTAAGCTATGTCAACAGTGCTTGATGTGTAAACGGGGTCGCTGACTCACACACTTCACACAAGAGGACATTGTACTCTTATTCAGTTTGTCAATTAATCGCCCAAATCTTATTATCCATTATCTAAAAAAAATGGGTTTAATCCTATAAAAATAAGTAAAGCAAAGAAAAAAAGTATGTTTTTGAAGGAAGATAAATTTATTGAAATATTTTGTAGACTTAATATATCTCTATTTGTATATTTATTCAAAAACAGGACATTTAGTTAATGAATATATTTCAAGTCAGAAGGGTGGGCACGAATACATCAATGAAACAATAAAGACGTGCTCGAGCAAATACAACTCATTCAATCTTATACTGATGAACCTCAGGTAAGCTAACTGCTGTATGAGAATTACTCATTTACACATTACATCTTTTGATAGCTGAACATATAAATAAGAAGATGTGGACTGAGTGCCAATGAGACAACTATCCATCCAAGTCACAATGTGTAGAAAATAAACAATTATAGGTCAAAGTACGGCCTTCAACACGGAGCCTTGGCTCACACCAAAACAGCAAGCTATAAAAGGCCCCAAAATGACGTGTAAAACAATTCAAACAGGAAAACAAACGGTCTAATCTATATAAAAAACGAGAAACGAGAAACACTTATGAACCACACCAACAAACGACAAGCACTGTACAACAGGCTCGCTTGTGACTTTTAATGGATTGATTGATTTATTGATTGATTGATGGTGGTTTACGCAATTTTAAGCACTCTTGGCTAAATCGAAGAAGTCAGTTTTTATTGGTGGACGACGTCGGAGTGCCCAGATAGAACCACAGATCTTTGGCTAAAAACCCGATTATCATATTAGATTTGAGTCGAAAGCACCTTCCACGTGCAAGGTTCAAATCTACAACCTTAGAGTTGACAGGCTACTGATATAATAGATGAACTACTTTTTATAGAAATTTTAGAAATAAATGTAAAGAATAAAACTGAAATATTTTTCTTGATTTATTTACAAATGCATCGTTTTTCCAAGAAAAATGCAACATGGATTTTATATAATCGAAAATGAATGTTACCAAAGAAACATAGTTTTGATATAAGATATTGTAGAAAAGTATGTTGAAAAGGCCTAACCTTTTCACATTCTGTTGCTACTAAATTTCACCTTTAATAGATTGCATCTAAATGCTATGAGTTTACAGTGAATGAGTCAGCAACTAAACAAAAAGTAAAATAACAAAGATACCGAACTCCGAGGAAAATTCAAAACCGAATGTCCGTAATCAAATGGCAAAATCAAAAGCTCAAACACATCAATCGAATGGATAACAACTGTCATATTCCTGACTTTGTACAAGCATTTTATTATGTAAAAAATGGTGAATTAAACCTGGTTTTTATAGCTAGCTAAACCTCTCACTTGTATGACAGTCGCATAAAATTCCTTTATATTGACAACGATGTTTGAACAAAACAAACAGACATAATATTTTTATTGTTGATATTCACTCCATATGTACCAAGTGTTAGATTAGTTTTATTAATATTAAAGAAATTTCTTGGTATTCCTAAACGTACGATGTTATACACACAGAAGAGGTATACTTAACAACAAAATAATTTTCATATACATGTGTATAATATGACGCAGGTTTCTTCAAAAGTGATGATTTTCTAAAAATTGTTTGAAATTTCACAGTGATATCATACTTTAACTTTGTTTAAACCTGTTTATTTACTTTTGACTTTAATTATTTATCCCTTGTAATTTTTTATTAACTGTGCATTTGCATTCAGGTGTCACAGGTCAAATTTATTCGTTCATTGTGTGTTAATTTACGTTTTTTGATTGAGTTAAGCCTTCCAATTGATATTTTATAGTGTGTTTTTCTATGTTGTGATGTTATACTATTGTTTCAGAAAAGGGAGAAGGTTTGGTACCATTAAAACGTTTAATCCCGCTGCAAATGTTTGCACCTGTCCTAAGTCAGGAATCTGATTACAGTAGTTGTCGTCTGTTTATGTAGTTCATACGTGTTTCTCGTTTCTCGTTTTTATATAGATTAGACCGTTGGTTTTTCCGTTTGAATGGTTTTAAACTAGTATTTTTTTTGAGCCCTTTATAGCTTGCAGTTCGGTGTGAGCCAATGCTTCGTGTTGAAGGCCGTACCTTGACCTATAATGGTTTACTTTTATGAATTGTAACTTGGATGGAGAGTTGTCTCATTGGCACTCATACCACATCTTCCTATATCTATATAATAGGTAGAAATGTCAAAAATAGGGGTACAGCAGTCAACATTGTGTTATAATCTTAATCACTATAAAAACAAACAAATATGTAACAAAGAAACACAAAAAGGCAAAGAGACAAAGCACATTAGCAAAAATGAAAAACAGTATTACTAAAACTTAAAAGGTAATTTTTAAAGTTGCAATGAAACTATCATCAAAGAACAAGTGCACATATAACGGTAAAACGAGAATCTCTACTACCTTAGGTTAATGTATTGCAAAAAATTGTTTTTCCAGTTTTCCAAAGACAAATGGTATTTGTTGTTCCAATGTGAATGGCGTTATAACTGAATCAGATATTTCAAACGGTAATAGTAAATGTTATTCATTTAAACTCAATTTATATCTATAACAAGTAAATAAATTGACAGCATACACAAATAATAAAATTGCATAGCCTTGTTGGATTAGTAAGTATTTTAAACATCTTAGCTTCTGGCTAAAATGAAATGCAATTATTCCTTTTATTATCTATTTATCTTAACTTATTTTTTGTGGTGGTTTTGAATATAAAAAAAACCCCATGAAATCTTATTTTTTCTTTCAAAGCGTTGTGATAGTTTTCGATTGTATAAATGACGGCGCATACATCTCAATTATAAATTGCGCGGATTAACATGATGTATTGCATTGTTACGTGACGTCATTGCTGCTGTTTTTGCGTATGATAAACTTCTAATTAACCATTTTATTAATGGACTGTAAAGCACACACAATCAATCAATGGAATTAACATATGAGCTGCGACGGATAGAAATCGACCTTATGCAAGTGCACGTATACGTGTACAAGTATAAGACTTTGATTGATTTTTGAACATTCAAATACAAAATAAAATAATAATTTTGATCTGTTTTGTAGGGTTCTTATTACAACTCAATTTACAAACAGTTATAGACTTTATACAACCGTACAACCGTAGAAATTTTTCAACCCGAATTAGGTTAACAGATTTATTGATATACATTTGCATAAGGTCGATTTCTATCCGACGCAGCTCATATATTGTAGCTTGAAACAGTTGGTATATAATGTTCCAAAGAATAAATAAAATGACGACTTTGTTGATAATGAAGCTAACGACTGTGTTTTTGTGAAAATTTATAACATAAGTAACATAAGACGTGAAATTTGAATTTTCAGTATTACATTATATGAAGATAGAGATAAGGAAAACGAAATAAACGATAGAAAAGTGAGCATAGAATAAAAACATGAACAAGAACTATGTTTCTCTAATCTAGATTGACAATGACATTGTTTTTGCAGGTGTTTTCACGTGTGATAATTCATCACCAGGCAAACCGTGGCAGAAGTCTATTCAGAACAGAGAAAGATTTGGCAATATTGTTAAGGAATGTAATCACAAAGAAAAGAAAGATCAACTTGTTCAGGAACTAATTTGTCTACTTACAGATAGAACGACGTTAGTATATATTATTTAATCATCATTTTATAGAATATAAATAAGAAGATGTGGTATGAGTGCCAATGAGACAACTCTCCATCTAAGTCACAATGTATACAAAGTTAACAATTATAGGTCAAAGTACGGCCTTCAATACGGAGCCTTGGCTCACACCGAACAGCAAGCTATAGAAGCTTGATTTGAGGATTTTACATGGAACTACTTTTCGACTTTTTAAAGCTTTTTGGTCCAACATAAAGTGCTTATTTTCAAAACGATGTTAACTTAACGCTACCGTGAGGACATTAAACACCGTGAATCAACGAAAGACTAATATAACTGACAGTATGTCATAGAATATTGATGAATACTAATATAACTGACTGTATGTCATCGAATATTGATGAATAAATTATGTGGAGACTAAGTCCCCGACAACAGTTAAAAATCAATAAAACGAAAAATCAATATAGAAAATCAATATGTTAATGAACTCAAAATCGTTAACCTTTTTTTAACTTTTTTCTAACAGTTGAGCTTGCTCATTACCCTGTTCTTTTTCTGTTGACGGACGCTGCCCTTTTGTAAGTCATGCGATTTCCCACAAATTAGTAAAACTGATTAGCAGAAAGGATAATGATGACGCACATTTTGTGTGGAATAAAGTGAGTCTAGAGCGTATTCAATAAACGATTTTATAGCCAATAAAAAAAAAAAAAAAAAATGAGTTCTCTGGGGAAACTTACCTTAGATCGATCGATAATAAGCCGACTTTTATATTCGTTGTTTTATGTATAAATCATTATGTTTTTAACTAACTATACTTTAAAATCGAGAAACAAAACGCTACCTGAAGATATCGTTTCAATCTTTGTTTACATTGAAAATGACGTCATGTAAAGAATTTCTATCAATAGGACCAACATCGGATACGTTTCCGTAATTTATTGACTTTTTCAACAGAAATTATGTTGGAAACTGTTTAACAACAAAAGTGTTTATGTATAAATCTGATGTTAACGGGATATCATAAAGTATTCTAAAGGTTTGCCGACTTCGTCCCCTTTCACAGGTAATACTTGCCTTATATTATAATCTATATTATTGGAATATCTAAAGAATCTCCCTGTTTTTGTTATGCTGGTGCTGTCCATTCTTTAGTTTTCTGTGTAGTGTATAGTAGACTGTTGCTTTTCTTTGTCACCAGAATTATAACATATATTTTCTTCGACTTAGTTTTCTTTCATCGTTTTCCAAATTATATAAAAGGTGTTCAGTTGACATTAGATTTCATGTTATGCTAATAGCTGATAAAGGATATCATACAATTAATCAGAGGTTTATTAATGTATTAAACAGGGTAAATCTTTGACAACCAACATCAAATGGGACATAACGAGTACCTTTTTCAGTAAAATATTTCTTTAAAAAATTATAATGGCCATATCAATGATAACGATATCCTGTATACCTTTCCTGATTTTTGAAATCTTTGGATGATAGTAATAAAACAAACAAAATGTCGTTTGTTCAATTTTCATTTGAATAGGTTAATAATTTTGGAATCGGCGGAATATTGCTGTAGCGATAGTTGTGCCCTTTGTTGTTCTCTTTTTTATGAGTAAACAAATGCAATTCATTTTTGAACTTGTTTACATTCCATAAGATAATGAATAACAAGAGGCACTACTATTTGATTGATGTTCAAAACCCGACATTTCTTAAAAAATAATACACCGACAAAAAATGATTGACCAACACAGAATGAGAATAGATGTGCTGACAGTGTAACTTTCTTATATATGAAATAATTTACAAAACAAATGATGATTAAGTAACACGAAAGGAGACCACATTTGCTAACAGTGTAACATACTCGTCAAACAATACACAGAAAAATAATAATGGAGCAATACGAATGTGAGAAGATGTACCCCAGATGTACTGCTGAAATATATAAATTATAAAATATACATTTGGAAAATTGAAAGTTCTATTCTTTACTCATGTGATATCTCTCTTGAAATAATGGCATTACAATGTTATCATGATTTGGATAAAAAAAATCGAACTGTTTCTAAGAAATTTTATATTTTTATTCAAAAAGAAAAAAGTGATATCAAGATAGTCATTACACTTTGTGATTAATAAGTGAACAAATATTACTACTGGTTCACCTACGACGAAAGTTGTGGAAGTGAGTCAAAGCGATCCTATATTTAATCATCAGCGTTTTCCATATTTAGATAAGTCTGATCAATGTTGAATTACACATCAATAGCTTTGTCAAACTGTCATATAATTTACGAAACGCTCCATTGTAAAACAAATGACAGAATCTGAAGCAAACTTTTGAAACTATTTTTCTCATTTTCCGTAATTCAACATCAATAAACTACTGTTGCCAAAATTTCCCATATTTCAGTCAGGGCCTGCAACTCATAATTCCTAGTGGTCTTGTGATAAAGGAAACTAACAAAATAAGAAGGTTTGCTTGATATCTTGATATTTTCCTCAATATTGACACAGATGGACGACTTTAAACTAGCATCTATAAAAAAACGCGGTAATTTTAACTTTCCAATTGACAACTTCCCATTTCTCAGCATAACATATCCTCTGTCTCATCGTATGGCGTTTGCATATCTCAGTTGATATGTGGCACTCGTACATGTTCACAATATATGGACATTATAACCAGGGGGTTGCTGTTTACACGAAAACTGCTTCAACAGAGTTATGAGGAAGAACGACTGAAATCGACACTACAAAATATTACGATAACCACAACGAATTTATTGCCGACACTATAAGTCTATGCTCCATCTCACTAGCAACATGTTTTCGCAGTATCAGATCTTAAGATATCATCCGATTGAGTGTTAATTTGCAAGGCGGGTAATGCATACATACCGTGAATTCATTTATATATTCGTGGATACCAAATTTATTAAACGTAGGAAAAAGTGTGATTCGTTGATATTTGATTTTGTGGTTTTGACAATGTTCACATACTAACCTATTGAAAGTTTATGCCTCCACGAGCATCTAAGTTCGTGGTTAATTCTATACCAACAAAATTTACGAAAATTGGTATCCCACGAATAATAATAGCAGGAAATGCTTACTCTGTCGACTCACTCGTTCTTCAATTTTTTCGATTCCCTTAGTTTTTGTTTGTTGCATCAGTTTGTGTTTTTATCGTTGTCTTACTTTTTCGGTTTTTAATGCTCTTCAATTTCGTATTTCATGTGGCCTGCCAATTGATTTTATTTCAAGTGGAACTGATAATCCTTATGTAGGCGAAGGTAAAATAACAAAAATACAGAACTCCAAGGAAAATTCAAAACGGAAAGTCCCTTAAAAAACGGCAAAATCAACAGCTCAAACGAATGGAAAACAATTGTCATATTTCTGACTTGGTACAGGCATTTGCAAATTATAAGTCTGATATATTTGGTGAGTTTTTTCAAACTTTCATAGCATTTTCCGATACTAGAAAGAAAGTGTCTATAGCAAATTTTGGAAAAAAAATTTTCACTATATCCAAAGCTTATTATTTAAAAAAGGACTTTTTATGTAAAAGTCAACATTTAGGTACAGTGAGAATTAAAACATAATGAAGGAGATGTGTGATAATAAATAACGTCGGCCAGAATTTAAGGAATTTAATATACTTTGGCAGAAGCTTCTTCATGATTAAGAGACAGTATTCACGGCAGGTTAAAAGTCTGAGTATCTACAAACAGTTAAGACATATTTGTTAGAGACCAATACCTTTGTCAAACCTTCACGGAATGTTACAAGACTTGGTTATTAGCTTCTTTATCGTCAAGATATAGCATTTTAAGACACAATTTCGTATTTTAATTCACGTATTTTACTGTTATATGACTTTAATGGCAGCCAATATTACACTTACACAAACAGCTGCAATCGACGACGCAAATCATCATGGGGAGGTGTGTTAGACTCCAAGTTTAATTGATAATGATTGCCGAAGGTCGGTGGTTCCTACCTGGTACGCTGGTTGTCTGTACAAATCAATCCTGACCGTTTATATAACAAACAAACAGTTATATATCTTATTTCAGTTATAACAGTGACCAGCAGTTAGCCACACAAGCTGCAATGTCTAATATGGAAGAAGATGTTATTTTAGAGAGAAGTGCTACATTTGTATGGACACCTAAATTGAGATATGGCACTAGGTTAGTCGAAAATATGAAGTTTTGATTTATTTGTTAATTGAGTTTAATTATCTAAAACATATGTTTTGCCCCAAATCGACAAAAGAATAAATGAACAGGGATTTCAATATAGAATGGCTTGTCGATTATATATGTAAGCCTCAAATCTATGCCCAGCCTCAAATCTATGTCCTTTCCGCAAATCTATGTCCTTTTTAATATTGCGTCATAGACGTTCCAAATTTATGTCCTTTATTGTCTCAAATCTATGTATTTTATTGTCTCAAATCTATTCCCTGTATTGTCTCAAATCTATGTCCTTTATTAACTCAAATTTATGGCCATTTTCGTCTCAAATTTATGTCCTTTATCGAAATTTAGAGACGTAAGACAGTTACATCGACGTCCCTATCACCTACAGAGTCAAGGACGCATAGAACGCTTCAATAGAACACTGACAGAATATTTTAGAAAAGAGATGTCAGTGGAAAAAGACTGACTGGCTTTCAAAATTGTCAGAATTTTATTACAACTACAACAACAAGGTACACAAATCTATGTGAATGTTGATGTCAAGGTACACAATGGGTTTTAAAAAGATACATAGATTCGAAACTTGAATAGTTTCCCCAAAACAAAAAAACTGTTTAATAAGATAGTGGCACAAAATGTCGTTGTTTAACACAATAAATTATATCATACACATTTTTATGTGGTATTTATACATTAAAACATTGAACAAAACGTTTGTAAATAGGTGTATATGTTTATAGCTTAAGATACAGAATAGGTTTAATTCATTGTTGAAGGCCGTACATGTATCTTTAGTTGCTTGTATACAGATGTCATTTTGTCTCAGGTTGTTTATTAACTTATATTTCGTATTTGTTATCAAGACGTAACGAGTAAAGGGAAGTAACGATAATTACTACAGAACAATTAAACACGGGATCAAGAAAAGCAAACAATTTGAAAATGATGTAGTTTTACAATAAAATGTAAATCATTATCATACAATAATTACACAGGCATGTAAAATTTTTAAGCACACACATGGAGAACACATCCCAACTTAGCACTGAATTATGGGAAATGACTTAATAAATCAAAAATCCTATAAGGCCGTACTTATTAGACGGGCATAAATTTTAGCATGGCGAAACAAAATGGAAAAAGATTTAAGAAAAGGACACAGATTTGAAGCCGTATATTTTTTTAACAGACATAGATTTGCGAATGAGGTCACGATTGAAAACAAATGTGAAAATAGGACACAGATTTGAGGCCGTATCTTTTTTAGCGGACATAGATTAGCGATTGACGTCACGATGGGGCACATATTTGAGAAACGGACACATATTTGAGACCGTACACAGATCTGAGGTTTACATATATATTTTAAAAGAGGTGGAAGATACCAACGCCAGAAAGTCTAAGAGAGACAGACAAAATCATGACAAATAAGAGAAAAAAAAACGACAGCACATTTTGCTGGAATTTCCTTGATAAGGTAAACTGGAAGCCAAATATTTGGTAAGCTAAAAATATGAAACGTTTAGCAGCACAAAAACTCAAGCATACATTACAAGGCAGCCAAACCCGTCTATGGTCAATCTTGATGCGGTAAGCTGCATTCTTCACATTAGCTATACAACACAGTTTTATGAACAGAAAAAAATTGCATCTGTTGGGTGCACTTTTTAATCTTAATCTTTTTTTTTATTTATTGTAGAACTCATTCCATCATTTTAGTTGACCGTTAGGTTGATAAAAATGTTAGTTAAAACCATCTTTGTATCTGCCGGAAATAGTTAAACACTTGACATATTGTTAGATTGATATCAATGTTAGTAAGGTATTTATTTTTTATTTGTGACACCATGAATCGAATAAAGCGATACATATTTGTGCAGAAATTCCATCTCTTCATTAGAATTGATTAATAAAATCCGAATTATTCCATGAAAACTATTAATAATGAAAGCATAAATTCGCAGAAAATGAGTTTTCTGTTTTATTTTCATCAGTAACTCAAATGAAGACATTTTAAAATCTGACAACTTTGTAGTAACGCAAATTGTGGCGACGGGAATTATTGATTAAGACAAAATAGATACATTCTATGCTTTCAAACATTGGCATTTTGTCAAAGTCATGGGGTTTGTTAGAATCCCTTAAGAAAGGATGTATAACATTATACAGTTAAATTTGTGAATCCAGTAATGAGAAGACATTACCTTTAGCTTTGATGATTAAGTAATGTTTACATATATTTCAGTAATTTTGGGGAATTTGATGTTAATGGTAGATTTCAACAGTTTCTGCAAAGTTTATTGAAACCTTTTTATCCAGCCAAGCTGGGTGAATGTGATCAGATTCTGAGTATTAATAGCATATCACGAAACCGTAGTATCTTATGATGGGCAAAATATGACGAATCTTAGAGAAAAGAAACTAAAAGTTTGTTTGCATTGCGTAAAATGCCGATATCTCTTATTTGCATCGAAATTAATACAGCGTCTTTAACAGTCAGTAATTTTATCTAGACGTGTTAATTCTAAGAAAATGTAAATAATATAAAGAAAAAGATACTTACACTTTTGTTTTTGTTGAAAAAAGTTCAATTATTTCGTCATTACGATTCAAATCATGAACCATTATTGATTTTATTAAAATCCGTGCACTGTTATTTGAAGTCAGTCATTTTAACGCATCTGGATGAGTTATTTGTTTTTATTAAAGGCGAATAAAATAAGGATAAAGATACCTAAACTTTTGTTGTGTTGATGAAGAGTCCAATTATTTCTTCATTAAATTTGAATGGAAATCCTAAACCATCATTGCATATGATTGTGTACTTTCTGTAAATTAGGATGATTTTGGTTCTAATAAAATATTATGAATATTAAAAAAAGATACGTACATTTTGTTTGCATTGTTTTTTTTTTATGCCAACATTTCTTTTTTGTTATTAAAATGGATTCATCTTTATTTGCAATTGGTCATTTAAATACCTCTGGATGAGTTATTTGTGCTATTATACAATGTGAATAATATAAGGATAAAGATACATACACTTTTTTTGTATTGAATAAGAGTGCAATTATTTCTTCATTTTAATAAATCATGAACTAGCATTGAATATTAGCACTTTCGATATCACAGGATGATTTGTTTTCATAATAATATGTGACTAATACAAGAGTAAAAATACTTTAAAATGTTATACTTGTTGAAAGCATTAAAAATGTTTCTTCATTGTAATGGAAAGCATGAACAGTCGTTGGTCATAATTATTTGTTTTACATCAGGATAAGTTGTTTTCAATAAATTTGTTGAATATAAATAAAGGCAACAGTTGTATAACGCTGTTCAATAGTCATAATTCGATTGAGCAAAAACAAATCCGGGTAACAAACTAAAACCGAGGGAAACACATCAACTATAAGAGGAAAACAACAGAACAACAGAGAAAATATGCTATAAATTGTTTACATATTTAAATGAAAATCATTCAGCGATATTTGCAATGTTTGGGCGTTCGATTTTTTTCTAGAGTATATTCGTACTTTATTAGGCCTTTTTAAATTTTTTTGATTCGAGTGTCACTGATGAGTCTTTTATAGACGAAACAAGTGTCTGGCGCAAATACAGAGTTTCAATCCTGGTATCTATGATGAGTTTATTTCCACATTGCAGTAGATTTTAGAGATCGCAATGAAGACCGTCATTTTTCTAACTCATCTGATTTATAAAAAAAGGCCTCATAATAAAGGCAATCAGTATCCTTTAGTAAGATTGAAATTTTAGTGTATCTTCAAATTTAAGTTCGCTTCTAACAAACGTAAAATTATGAGATGTGAAAACTTTGCTGTAACGGTTTTTTGACTGCTAACTGATCTCTAAAACAGTAACGCCGAAGGTTGCAAGTCTTGTATGTCTGTTTTAGAATCAGTAAATAGCTTATTCGCAACCAGGCAAATCGAGATCTACAAATCAGTTTATTTGTTAACAAAACTGTGTAAACTTCTTAATAAACCTCTAGCTTTCAAATGAAAGTCAATTTTTCACTAAACAGTCGATAATGTTAAGTGAAAATACGTTTGGATCTTTAATATGCATAATAATTTTTTCCATCTAAAAGAGTTCCAAAGGAAGATTAAAGATTGATCTGTATAAAGCATCTTTTTGCATATCTGCCCCTGCTACATTTTTTTTGGAAAAACATCCTGAAAATAGGCAATATTCTTATCAAAAGGAGAAATTCTGTAACACCTTTTTGCGTTCAGGCGTGATTGAGCTGACTGTTTGTCCTGAAAACGTAAAAAGCAAAAATATTGAGACATCATCTGGCATCAGATTTCAACTTTATATATTTTAGCTACATGTTGATATAATAACATTAAAAATTCACAGGACCAAACAATGCTATATGTGGTTAAAGTTTAAAACCCTTCTAACGAGTCATAACAACATAGTGTTTTTGAATTACAAAAATAGCTTTGTGCTACTATAAATGTTAAAACTTGAGGTATATTTCTTATTCGTTTTTTTTATAAATTTTCATTCACCATTCGAAAAAATGAAAATTGAATTATTTTATTAAAAAAATGCAGTAAAAAAGAATAGTAGTACACACCGTTCACTACCACCCCCTTAAATGTGTATTAAACGCCCTTGACGACATACTTCACATGTGGATCTTAAAAAAGCATAACTTAAAAAAAAGAAATACTTGTTTGTGAGTGTTATATAGGATAAATAGTCTTCAAACTCTTCAAAATGTTTAGTCTGCCCTTTTACAAAATATTTAAATAGGTTTTTACGTGTATTTTTAACGTTCGAAAATTCCCTCTGACAATAAATTAGACAATAGATTAAAGTTGACAAAAGGTATAAAAGTACATTACATGATGCTTTATAGCTAGTAGATACATTTGTATTTTCAAATACAACTGTCATCTACGGATCGTAATGATGCCATGTGGATAAATTTATCGGCTTCCAAGAGCTAATTGGACAGTGCGTCATACCTAAAATTGCTTCCGTGTTCACGATTGACAAAATCAGTCTGCGTATTGGGGATATAATTTTAACGCAGTAGAATCCGTACAGAGGAGAAAAATCGCGGGTCTCACTAGTCTAGAATAGCAGATGATCGTTCCGATGCAGCTGATATCAACCAGATTTCGGATGGATTCCTAATGCTCAATCTCTACTTAGGTGTAATATAACGAGAATGTATTTTGTGTTTTTAGTAGTTTTTTTCTACGACCATGCTACTGTCTATTTTCTTAAACTTATGGTCTTTGAAAACTCCCTTGGTATCAAGTGGTAAGTATAAAATATACTTCTTTGATATACGTGCGTATCCATGGCCAATTAATTGATACCTTCCTGAAAAGAATTTAGCCAATTTGTAGAGAGAGAGAGAGAGAGAGAGAGAGAGAGAGAGAGAGAGAGAGAGAGAGAGAGTTAACTACTATATATTAATGTTGCATGTCGTTGTTAGAACAACCTTTCTTATTTCTAAATATTTAAGTTTATTCACGTCGACATATGATTTAAAGCCCAATAACTACCATTCTTTCTTATTTATTTTGTAAAAATATTTCCTTTCTCTATTTGAACTGTACACGTATACCTAACAACAAAATTATTTTCATCTACCTGTGTTTGAAGTTATTGCAAATGGCTGATATTTTAGTTCCAGCATATTGTTTTTCTTTAATTGTTTAACATTTCATAGCGGTATAATATGTTACTTTTATTATTCTTCCCTTAGTTTATTTATTTTCTATTTACATGGTATCATAGGTCAAATTTATTTGTTCAGTGTATGTTTAATGGTGTTAATATGTCCTTTGATTGAGTTAAGCCATTTCACTTGATATTTTATAGTGTGTCTTTCTATGTTGTGATGTTACACTATTGTTTCAGAAAAAGGGTGAAGGTTTGGTACCATTAAAACGTTTAAACCCGCTGCAATTGTTTGCACATGTCCTAAGTCAGGAATCTGATGTTCAGTAGTTGTCGTTTGTTGATGTGGTTCATAAGTGTTTCTCGTTTCTCGTTTTTTATATAGATTAGACCGTTGGTTTTCCTGTTTGAATGGTTTTACACAAGTAATTTACGGGGCCCTTTATAGCTTGCTGTTCGGTGTGAGCCAAGGCTCCGTGTTGAAGACCGTACTTTCGGCTGCTCTATGGTCTGGTTGTTGTCTCTTTGACACATTCCCCATTTCCATTCTCAATTTTATTTGACCTATAATGGTTTACTTTTATAGATTTTGACTTGGATGGAGAGTTGTCTCATTGGCATTCATACCACATCTTCTTATATCTATTTATTATTCTTTTTGTATTTAATAGAATCAACAGACACAATGGCTAGAATTAGAAAGAATTTGTTTTTTGTGATACAGCTATTCTGAATATAAGGCACATTATTAAGATGAAAGGATAACATTGCTTTATTCAATTTCAAATTGTTAATTAAAGTATTTAAATTCAAGGTGAAGCTTCCTTTAAATAACACCACGATAGAAAATCTTTATAATAAGATCACGCGGTGTTTTATATGAGTACACTTGAAAACTTACGAGCGAAAAAATTAGAGAGGTAGGGAGAGATAACTATATTCATGAATTGTTAAATATTGCATGCCGTTGTATGCACAACCTTTCTTATTTCTAAAGATTTATGTTTATTCACGTCGAGATATGATTTAAAGCCCATATACTACCATTCTTTATTATTCTTTT